TGAGAAACGATGTACAAATGCGCTTTACACAATTGATGTGTGTATGGATTGGGATAACAGTTGTATGAGCCCCTAATAAAATGTTAACAAAAAAACAAAAAAAAACAAAAAAATAAATAAATCTTCCTGAAGCACAGAAAAATATCACCTCCCACTCATCCTCAACTAACTTTAAATACGTTAAAGGCTTCCCGCTTGCTACTAAAATAGATGGTTTTCTTTCTACAATGGGAATCCACCAGTTTCCCAATTCATTGCTATTATATAAATACAACGGTTTTCACCCCCTTTGTCTTTTGTGACTGTCTTATTTTGTGTTGCTCAAATGCCCTGGTAGTGTAGTAGATTATAAGTTAGACAGTTAAAATTGAGGCTTCCTGCTCCCATAAAAGCTGACCGTCTTGGAAACCTACAGGGGCAGTTCTACTCTGTCCTTTAGGGTCACTGTGAGTGACTGAAAACTGCCTTGATAGCAGTAAGTTTAATAACAAAAATTCCTCAAGTCTGAGTTGAGGGTATCAACTACATGGAAGGTTTTTGTTTAACTTCCTTTATATTACAAAAGGGTGCCTGTGAGGGTTGACTCATTAACATAACAACAGACAACCCATTTCCAAATGAAATTATAATCACAAATACAGAGGTTATGATTCAAAAACATATTTGGGGAGGGGGGGGACACAATTTATAACATTCTACACTTTAGTCTCCCTGCCCCAAAATTCTCATCCTTTTCACATACAGAGCCCATTCACCCACTATATCATCCCCAAAGTCTTAAAACAACTCCATGTGCAAAATTTCCTTTTCTGAGTCAACTAAATCAAATATGGGGAGGCTTTAGGTGTATCTCATCCTGGGAAAAAACTCTATCTACGATCTTGTGAAATCTAGAGTACAAGTTATTTCTTTCTAAAGTGCAAAGAGAGAACAATGTCGAGGTAGATAGTTCCATTAAAATGAAGGTGTATCAGGTAGCAATAAGTCCAAAACCCAGCAGAACAAATTTCAACAGTTCTCAAGACCTGAAAATAACCTGTTCTCTGAAACCATATCTGCCAAGGGCCTCACCCTCCAGCCACTAGATCAGTGGGTCTTTACCCCTTCACAGGGGTCGCCTAATACATCCTGCATATCAGATATTTACACTGAGATTGATTAACAATAGCAAACTTACAGTTATGAAGTAGCAACAAAAATAATTTTATGGTTGGGGGTCACCACATGAGGAGCTATATTAAAGGGTCACGGCATTAAGAAGGTTGAGAACCACTGCTCTAGAGGCTGGCCACATCCTCTCATTTCTGGGTAGTGGTTCCTCCACCTTCCAGGCCCACTGGGACAGCAACTCTGTTCCCTGAGCTTCAGGCAGTCCCATTTTCCCTGTCCATCTGAGCGGAACCCTATTCTTTGGCCTTAGAGCCACTGTTCTTCTAGCCCTTGGGCATGGCAGCCTCCTACTCCATGCTATGGGTGAGAGCCCATCCCCTTGGCATTCCTTAACAGCAGGACCATAACAAAGAAAAGGATTAGGAAAGATGAAATTCTTTGAAACCAAGGAGGCTGTGGCCTCATTCTGGAGATCCTGGAGACCAGAGGCCCACCCTTTGAAACTGTGAGGAACTTGCTTCCTGTGCACCTTCAGCTGACCTCAGAGCTGTTAAAGCCTTTTTACTTTCCTTTTCTTAAAGGACAATAGATTCTTTGGCCTATTTCCTGCCTACAGAATTCCAAGAGACAGGTCAGGCTAAGCAGATGAGTTTTCGACTGTAGTAGATGCACATCACAGGTACAGTATGAAACTTTTTAACAAAAATTGTGTAGCCATACCCTTGGTGACCATTTTAGGATGAGTCCTAGTTTTTACAACACACTTTCTAAATCTTTATGTTCTGTCTTGATTTCGCACAGCTCATTTTTAAGTACATCTTTCCTTTCCCATTTCACTATAAGGGGCAGGGAGAAAATTCTGCAGCCACTTTAAGACCTTGCTTACATATCTACTCAGCCAGATATACAAGTTCATCACAATTTCTACCTTTCACCAAACATCTAAACTTAATCAAGTTCTTTCCCTCTACATAAAAAGTATCACCCTTCCTCCACTGTCCAATCACATGTCCACTTTCTTTTAAAGTCCCCCCAGAAACTCATTTAACATCCATATTTCTGGCAACATGTATTCTCTAGGAAAATGGAGATTTTTCTCCATAGTTCTCAATTCTTTCTGAGACCTCTTCAGAATGAGCTTTAACAACCATGAGCAGATAGGGGGTTGTTCCTCTCCATGCCTAGGAGAGGTTAGAAGCCAATGTAGGCTAAGAGGCATGTGCCAATTCAAGCTTGAGCCAGGTGGGCGGTACAACTGGGTTGGCTCAAACTAGGCCAGGTGAGCTTAATTCAGCCAATGAGGTAAACCAGTACCATAGACCACGCCTCCCAGCCAAAAGCCGGAAAGGCTGCAACCTGGAGACCACCACTGCTTCCCTTCAGCTGCTCTGCTTTCTGCTCCATCACGTGTGGGTGTGCAGTCCCGTGAGAGTGCCTGTGTTCAGTTACTGTAAAGCCTGAAACTTCTGTCCTTTATAAAAACCCAGTTGTATAGCAAACCAGGCTTCGACATAAATCCTTTCTCACGCGAAGCCAAGGGCCAAGGTATTTCCCACCCGAGAAATCTAACAAATCTACCAACAGTCTCTTCACATTCCAAATTCACATTTTAGGTTATCTGTTAGAACAGCACCCCACTCTTCAGTACCAAATTCTGAGTTATCTATTGCAGCTAGATGGGTGGCAAATAGAAAGCATTAACACAGAGAAATTAATTTTCTGTTAGGATGGCTAGAAGTCTAAATTAGGGTGTTGGCTCTAGGGAAGGTTTCCTCTTTCTGTCAACTCTGAAGGAAGGTCCTGATCTTCATGGTTCCTGGTTCCTAAGAGATCTCCCCGTAGCCTGGCCATCAATTTCCCCCATATCTGCTGGCTTGCTTGTTTAATCTTTTATATCTCAAAGGAGATTGACTCAAGTACACCTTGCACTAATCATACATCATTAACATAACAAAGACAGTCCATTTTCCAAATGGGATTATAACCATAGGATGACGATTATGAAATTTTATAAGGGCACAATGCAACCCATAATGACATTTTGAGTAATTGGTGCACCACTCTCCCTTCATTCTCTTGTAAGTTCCTTGAGTTCTTAGTGTTTATCTTCACATTCCTTAAGTATTAAACCTTATAACTGAAATATATCAATTTTACAATTTAATTATTCTATATAATTTAAGCCTAAGCAATTCACTTATCAATCGAATACATTTTTAAGAAGTGAATGAACTACAAATACATACAAGTGAAATGGTCTTTAAATTTACTCTCTTACTGAACAAAGCCAATTTACATATAAGCATATTAGGTTTTTGTAAGCAAGTAAACTCTGCTCCTTGAGCAACTCTGCTGAACTTCACTTTACCTTGTTCATGCTCTAATAGCTGCAGAGCTTCAACTCCATTACTCCCAGAGGGTCCTGCTCCAAGTTCTGATACAGATTCTCCTTCCAGGTCTAGAGAAGACACTGAATTGGAGCGATTTGAAGGACCTGGAAAAATGTTTGTCTTATGAGTGATAGTTTTTAAACAATGAGTCACCATGCAATTTTTCATGCTTGCAAATGAGACTGAAGACTAACTAAAGATCTTTTAGTATTAATTTATACCTTAAAAATATATAAACATAAAATAAAAATATACTAAGTAAAAAAGTTAGTCAGAAACTATTTTGTAAAGGGCAAAATTACAAACTTCACCCCTAACCCCAAGGGGAACAAACAACAGAAACATGGGAGAAGGGAGCCAATGGATGGTATAAGATATGAAAACAATAATAATTTATAATTTATCAAGGGTTCACAAGGGGGATGGGGAATGGGAGGGGAAAAAGAGGAGCTGATACCAAGGGCTCAAATAGAAAGAAAATACTTTAGAAATGATGATGGATGCAAGATAGGACAAAATAACAATTTATAAACTATCAAGGGCTCATAAGGGAGGGGGGAGCGGGGAGGGAGGAGAAAAATGAGGACCTAATGCCGGGGGCTTAAGTGGAGAGGAAATGTTTTAAGAATGATGAGGGCAATGAATGTACAAATGTGCTTTACATAATTGATGTGTGTATGGATTGTGATAAGAGTTGTATGAGCCCCTAATAAAATGATAAAAAAAAAAGAAATGATGATGGAAACATATGTACAAATGTACTTGAAACAATTATGTATGGATTGTTATAAGAGCTGTAAGAGCCCCAATAAAATTATTTATTTTTTAAAGGCAAAATTACAGACAGTGAAAAGACCAGTAACTAGCAGAGGTTCAGAGGACAGATGGAACTGTACAACAGTGACTTTTGTTAATAATAATGTATCAATATTAATCAATTTATCAAATGTGCGTATGGTGAAATGAAATTTCTTAATATGGTTTTTCTATCCATGTCTATGTAACTCCACCAACTGATTGAATGAGACTATACAAATAGGGTATACATAATACTAATAGTAGGAATTGGTCAATTTGGGTTGCCATCTCAGATCTCGGACCAGAGAGAATCTCAGGGCCATCGAGGAAGACGAGCTCCTAGCAGAACAAGTTTGAGATCCCTTCTTGCCTGAAGTGGATGAGGCAATAGAGGCCATGCTACACAGACCATAGGCTGCAGTGCTGACTATGGAGACGCTGAGGCAAAGCAGCAGGTAAGCTTCATGATCCATAGAGACCAATGACCAAGAAACCTCATGATTGAGGACCATAGAGGGATATAGATGCTGGCTGAGGATAGGCACTACTGTGGAAAAAACTATATCCCTCAAGCGGCCATCAATAAAGCCCACATGGAAGAAATCCACCAGTCTGTATGATCACAAGGTGTCGACATAATCTGGTATCAGGCATCAGAAGACCCAAAACAAACATTTATGTCGACGCGAACAAGTAAGGTTGGAGTGGAGACCTAAAGCTCATCTGTAGACAATTGGACATCCACTCACAGGAGTCACAGGAAGGGACGAGTTAGCCAGGGTGCATATAGCACCGATGAAACACGCAACAATCCTCTAGTTCTTTCATGCTTCCTAGCCCCCACCATCATGACCCCAAGTCTGCCTTGAAAAATCCAGATAAACCGGAGCATGTACACTGGTACAGATAAGAGCTGAAACCACATGGAATCGAGGATAGATAAACCCGTCAGGAACAATAAAGGAAGGAGCAATACCATGAGGGTAGAGGGAAGGTGGGAGAAGGGGAGGAACAGATCACAATGGTGGATGTATAGCACCCCACCCACCCAGGGGGACAAACAACAGAAACGTGGGTGAAGGGATATAGTGGACAGTGTAAGATATGGGAAAAAAAATTTTTAAGATATTAAAATAATAATTTATACTATATCAAGAGCTCATGAGGGTGGGAGGGTGGTGAGGGAGGTAAAAAAAGAGGATACCAAGAGCACAAGTAGCAAGGAAATGTTTTGAAAATGATAACATATGTAATATTTGCTTGATATAACTGATGTATGAAATGTTTTAAGAGTTAACAGCCCCCATTAAAATTATTTTTATATATTAAAAAAATAAACACTATATCCTTAATGTTTTCTCATGCTGGCTTATGATAACCTGTTAACTTCCCTGTTAAATTATAAATGTGAGTATTGCTAAAAACAGATTTTGGGGCCAGGGCGTAGCACCCCATTAGACTCGACTGGAAAACACTCCTAAAGGCCAACAAACAGTCCTTGAACTAGCTACAGGCTTTTCTTTTTGGTTTTTTTTGGTCATTGTTTTTTTATTGTTTTGTTTTCTTTTGTTACTTTGTATTGCTGTCTTGTTTCTGTGCATGTTATTATTTATCTCCACAGGTCTGTCTAAATAAGATAGGCTGGATGAACAATCTGGGGAAAAAAACAACGGGACCGATGGTTCCGGGCGACCTGGGAGAGGGGAGGCGGGGGAAAGGAAGTGGGTGTTAACAAACCCAGGGATAAGGGGACAAGTGATCCAAATCGGTGGTGAGGAAGGTGCAGAAGGTCTGGTAGGGCATGATCAAGGGTAATGTAGCCCAGAGGAATTACTGAAGCCCAAATGAAGGAGGAACATGATAATGGGACAAGAGGAAAGTAAAAGGAAACAGACGAAAGAACTAGGAGGCAAAGGGCATTTATAGAGGTCTAAATACAGGCATGTACATATGTAAGTATATTTATATGAGGATGGGGAAACAGATCTACGTGCATATATTAATAGATTTGGTATTAAGGTAGCAAACGGACATTGGGCCTCCACTCAAGTACTCCCTCAATGCAAGAACACTTTGTTCTATTAAATTGGCATTCCATGATGCTCATCTTCCCGACAAGATCGCTGAAGACAAAGCAGGTGCATAAGCAAATGTGGTGAATAAAGCTGATGATGCCTGGCTATCTGAGTAAGTTAATTGTGCCAGCCTGGCCGATAATCACGTGGGGCTAATTGAAAGGCGGAGGGATAAATGGGTGGTGAGCCTCGCCTTTCTAG